TGAACAAATTATAAGCCCATTTCCAGCCTGCTAATACTAATAGCCTTCTATGGCTAAACTCTTTATTTTTATTTTTCTTTTTTATCCCATCTTATATCTTTATTTATTTATTTATTTTACTATTCTTCTATCTTTATTAATTTGTGTCTTTCTTGTTTGTAGTTAAATCAAGCCTGTAATTGCTGTAGAAAAGAAAATTTATATATTCAAAAAATTAGATATATCCTTTGTTATTAAAAAAAAAAAACGAAATCAGAGTAATTTTACGTTGCCAATATACATGAAGAAATAAAAAAATTAGAGAAAAACACGAAAAATGAAAAGTTTTTGAATTTGAAGGGAGTTTTCAATTTTTGCATTTTGTTTGAATTCGCATTCTCTTATATATATATATACATATATATTAACACCCTAGTATTTGGAAAGTTACATTCAACTTAACTAATCTAAAATTAAGTTGCGTTAAATTTTATAAGAGAGAAAATTTTTTTAATACTTATTTTTTTATTTATAAAATTTGAATTCAAAATCTTATTTAAGAGTGACTAAGTTTTTTTTATTTGAATCAATACATCGTTAGTTGAATTAGTATTCTCTAATAGTTGATAATTTTTGCATTAAGGGCTATGAGAGATAGAGATGATCAAGGAATTCCCTAAGAATTCTTTAGGTAGAGATGACGAATACATGTTGCTTGATCATCTCATGATACAAATTATAATATGTAATTAAGGACCAGATAAGATAACATATTCCTATGTGTGTAACATCAATTAAAGAATATTGGAAGAGTTTGAAAGCATTTTAGTAGAAAGTGACACATACTTAAATAGAACGTGCGTGTTACTATTTTGTTTTTGTTGTAATGATTAGAAGCTTTAACTTTTGTAATAAGTTAGAGTACTTATCGTATTCATTAATTATATAATTATATTTAAGTGATAAAGAAAAAGATAATCCCAAATTTGTTAAAGATGTTTCACAATGTTACCTTTATAGTTTTAAGCTTCTATGAAAGGTTGAGAAATATGTTTATTAATTGTTAAATATTAATTGAGAAGTTTTAGTGACCCAAGTGAACACTGATATGTTATAAAAAAGGAAAATGATATGTGCACACCCGGGTCAACACCCGAGTGTGCACACTCCCCTTTGGAAAAAAAAAAAGCCCCATCCCCACCCGGTTTAATTTTTTTTTTTATATGGGGGTGCACACCCGGGTGTTGGATCCGGGTGTGCACCAATCAAGGTCCTATAAAAAATTGTTTTATATTGTTGTGGTATGGGTTAGAATTCCACCCCTCCTGTCCTCTTCTCCCTAACTCACCATGTTCAAAAAATATATATATTAAATATTAAATATTAATTATCAAATATATCAAAATAATTACACTAGACACCCCCTAAATATGATCTGAGGGTAAGATTTAACCTCCACTTCACTCATGGTGTTAAATTTAGTTCAATTTCATGACAATATTAAAGTTGAAGGGCAAAATTCTGATTAAAATTTATGAG